AGTTAGAACGAAATAAACATCTATATAATTTTTTATTATTTATTTTTAATTATTTTTGTAATTTTTTTATTTTTACGTATTTACATTTTTTTATATTATATATAAATATATATATATAACAATAATTATATATATATATATTTAATCAGTATTAGTCTACGTGTAATTTGATAGTAATATATATATAAATAATTATATATATTAATATTTAAATACACTTCGTGTATGTGTAAATGTGTGTGTGTGTGTGTGTGTGTGTGTATATATATATATATATATATATATATATACTTAGATCATATATATGTAATATATATGATCTAAGTATATTTTATATTTAACTGTAATTTTTTTTTTTTTACTAATATTTTATTTATTTTTACAGGACAGGGGGCAGAGACAGTGTCAGCCAGTGATTTTACATCACTGGCTGACACACAGGATCAGTGATCACAGTGACTGCCTGTCACTGAGATCACCTCCTGCAGATTGGGTAATTGGCCACAGGGGGGAGTGCCTGGGTGGTACAAGCACTCCCCCCTTCCAATCTGCAGGGGGATCTGTGTGCCAGTTACATGTGTCAGTCAATAGGCTGACACATGTAACACTGATCGCAGTGACAGGCTGTCACTGCGATCAGAGCGCTCTGAGATCGCAGTGACAGCCTGTCACTGCGATCTCAGACAGTGCAGATCGCGGTCACTGACCCCAGGGGGACTGCCTGGGGGCCAGGTAAGTCCCCCGACCGCGATCTGCATTGCAGAAAGCCGCCGGCCACGTGTGTCAGCCGATTTGAAATCGGCTGACACACGTTAAATACTGATCGCAGTGACAGCCTGTCACTGCGATCAGTGACTGCAGATCGCGGTCCCCGGCCACAGGGGGGGTTGCCTGGGGGGCCGGGCATCCCCCCCCGACCGCGATCTGCAGCGGGCGAATAGCGCCGGCCACGTGGGCGGCCATTAAAGTGAGGGCGTACTATTACGCCCGCCGGCGTTTAGAGCCGGCTCCTGCAGGGCGTAATAGTACGCCCTGCGGATTTAAGGGGTTAATGTAATGACCATATGGGCTAGTCCTAAGTAAAATAAAGTTTTAGACAGTTCTTCTTCCCTCTCAATCTAGAGTTCTGTCTCTTATTGGGGGAATTGCTATATCACTACAAGGGGTTGCTATGCTCAGCATGCTCCCTTGGATAATCACTTCTAAGCTCTTGTAAAAGCTTGTTCCTGCTTCGCTCTGAAGGAGAGATTCGGCCTGCGGTGATTGTGGTGTTGGCTAGAGTGCTTGGAATGCTCAAGAAGCGGTAGGAGCATCCATCAACAGAGGTACCCAGTCAGGGTGCCAGGTGATCCGTTACATTGGTGGCAGGAGTGGGATGGCTTCCTAGCCTTGGGAAAATCAGCACTACTTCAGAGATGGAAGGCCGTGAAGTATCTCACTTTGACGCCAGGCTCCAGCAGCGACTACAGGATGTGATGCGCAGTATGGAGTATCCTATCCCAGAGGAAAGAGAGACAGAGTGGAGGGTGGCGCTTCGTACCGATCTCTGGAAGGAGGACATTGACGAAATTCGACCCTTCCGGTGCGAGGAAATCCTGACCACTAACCAGCGCCAAGCAGAACAACTAGAGCTGCCGATGCCGTTATTGGGAAACCAGCCCTCAGATGGGTAAGCGAACTGGAGACGCTAGTTGAGACTGAGGTGTGGCTGGATGATTCCTATCGGGCCCTGCGGGGGCATGCTTACCACCTCTACCCATGGCTGATCGAGTACAAGTGTATTGAGGGGGAAGACTACGATAACCCTGGTTTGTTGTGGGATACTATTGAAACTAGACTCTGGTAGGTGGAGATGGGACCGAGGTCTCTCTACCGGCCCTACAGGGATGCTGAGCAGATCCCCAGCGGCAGTATGTTTCCCAGGGAGCTGAAGGTGCCGTCCTTCCTCCCCAACGGCAGTGTGTGTCCTTAGGAGAGGAGACAGTTGGTCCCTCTCCCTAGCAGTCCAGTGACTCCCAGGGAGCTGAAGGTGCAGTCCTTCCTCCCCAGCAACAGTGTGTGTTACAGGGAGCTGAAGGTGTCGTCCTTCCTCCCTAGCAACAGTGTGTGTTACAGGGAGCTGAAGGTGTCGTCCTTCCTCCCCAGTGGCAGTGTGTGTCCTTAGGAGAGGAGACAGTTGGTCCTTCTCCCCAGCAGTCCAGTGAGTCCCAGGGAGCTGAAGGTACCGCCCTTCCTCCCCAGCGGCAGTGTGTGTCCTTAGGAGAGGAGACAGTTGGTCTCTCTCCCCAGCAGTCCAGTGAATTACAGGGAGACAAAGGTGCTGTCCTTCCTCTCCAGCGGCAGTGTGAGTTCTTGGGAGAGGAGACAGTCGGTCCCTCTCCCCAGTGGTCAAGCGAATCCCAGGGAGCCGAAGGTGCCGTCCTTCCTCCCCAGCAGCAGTGTGTCCGGCAGGGAGCAGAGACAGTCGGTCTCGCTCCCCAGCAGCGGGACAATATATTGAAAGGGGAGACAGTCAGTCCCCCTCTCCAACATCAGAAAGAGTGTCAGGGAGAGGAGCTTGTTATCCCCTCTCCCCAGCGGCTGAAAGTATGTATGGGAGAGGAGCTTGTTACCCCCTCTCCCCAGCGGCTGAAAGTATGTATGGGATACATACTTATTACCCCCTCTCCCCAGCAGCAGCTTAGCCCACCAAGGGTAAGACAGTAAGCCCCACAACAGTGCAGATGGGACCGTGGTCTCTGTACATGCACCACCGGGGGTAGGGACAGTCGGTCCTGTCCCCCAGCAACAGGGCTGTTTAGCCAAAGGGGAGACAGTTGGTCTCCCCCTCCAGCAGTCAGTCTCCCCCTCCAGCAGCAGCCCCAGATCCTGAGAGAGGAGCCTACCAACTTTTCTTTTCAGCATGGCTCCAACCAGGCTACTCCCGTGGTAGCGCTGGCACCAGGGCAGAGTACTGCGGGTCTCTGCCCACTCAGCAACCCACCAAGGCAGCCTATCAGTACCCCACACAGCCGTGAGGAGGCACCTGGACATGGACGAGCTAATCTTTTACCCAGGTGTGGGCTGTATTGCTGTTTGTGGGCCGTATTGCTGTTTGTGCTTCGTGGGTGGGTTGCTGGACTAACCAGGGCACTGACCGGCAGGAGGTCAGATACCCTGTTAGTCTGTTTGGAAAAGGGGAGAAATGTGGTGGAACCAGCCTCGCCATTGGGAATTGGAGAAGACTGATTGCCAGGCACCTACTCTGCTTCCGTGTCGGGAGGCAGGGGGAGGGCTCTAGGAAGCAGCTCTCCTGTCCTCCCGCGTGATGCTGTGTGGAGCGTTGCCGCGCGTTACCATGGCAATGCTCCACACAGCATCGCGCGGGAGGACAGGAGAGCTGCTTCACACAAAAACCTACTTACCACGACTGGACCACCAGGGATAGCTGTGTGTCCCCCACTCCTTCACCAAAGGTAAGAGGAAGGGAGGGGGGATAAAGAATTAATAAATATATATATTTTTAATGTACCCCTACCCCCCCACACACCACACCACCCCTTCCCGCCCACATACCACACCACCCCTACCCGTCCACACACCACCCCAACACCCCCACACACAGCACCCTACCCCCCACACAGCATCCCTTCCCCCCCCACAAAGCACCCCTATCCCGCACACACACTGCACCCCTACCCCGCATATACACTGCACCCCTCACACACACAGCATTCCACACCCTTACACACAAACCCCTTAATGCAGTATTTATGTGTGTGTATGTGTATTCAGCAGACTGTGTGTGTGTGTACTCAGCAGACTGTGTGTGTGTGTACTCAGCAGTCTGTCTGTATGTGTATTTAGCGGCCGGTGTGAATGTGTTCAGCAGTCTGTGTGTATGTTTTGCATTTGTTGGAGATACTAATAAATATAAGCTTAATTTGATCTATTTATATCATTATTTAAAATTTGTATCATTGAACTCTCTGTTGTGTTCTTCTTTTAAAACAAAGTTGTTAATTAGTTCGGACAACTGTACGAGTTATTTTTTCTAAACTTAAACCTCAGTATTCATGTTTAATTGCCGTGTTGGCACTTTGAGGGAAAAAAAGTTGGCATGTATTGCGGTTTGGGCACTCAGGCTCAAAAAGGTTCGCCATCACTGCGATAGGAGCATCCATCAACGGAGGTACCCAGTCAGGGTGCCAAGTGATCTGTTACACCCACTTATAGGATAGAATGGTTTCAATGATGTATGGACCAAAAAATAAAAATAAACAACAGTAGTGCTCACTGTATAAAATCAACAAGAAGGATAAATCAGAGAATATTACTCACATTTACCAGAGCAGATAAACTGCTCTATGGATAGGGCGTGGGTGTACTAATCCCCACCCGAAAGATTTCTTGAGTAGTTCTTACTGGGAGTAAAATCAGGATACCAGGCAATAGATTTGCTAAACTTCAAAATGAAAAAATGATAGCTAAAGAGAGCAAAACCAACCCCAAAGCATTTTTTAAGTACATAAATTCTAAAAAACCCAAAAACAAAGTGTAGGTGCACTAAAAAAAACTAAAACGGGGGTGCTAGTTAATGAAGACCAGGAAAAGGCAGGAATTTTAAATAACTATTTCTCCTCTGTATATATTAAGGAAGAACCCATGGCAATAGATGTGCAAATGATTGCTACTAAAAACTTGCAGAATAATTGTAATTGGTTAACTCAAGACAAGGTGCTGCAGCAACTAAAGAAAGTTAATATAATCAATACAGAAGCGAGTCGTACCACCGGAGATGCCCAGGGACTTTGGGAAGCCTCAATAACCCCTAGTTCTAACATCTCTTGAATTTCCTTCCACATGCTAGTCCGCACTGCTGCCGGAATACGGTACGGCTGCTGCCATAAGGGGGTCTCCCCCTGTGTCTCCACCCAATGTACTGCGGCGGAGGTGTACCCAGTGTGGTAAATTACCAAACTCTATAAATTATGTACGCGTACACATATAAACTCTGGTCCGTCTACTTTAACAAATATTTATTCAGAGACAAAACAACAACAACATAAAAATAATGACACACAATCTAACTAACTATACCACCAACAACAGCAACAACAACCTAACTAACAATAACAACTACATCTTATAAAATCCCACTCACAGTTCACCATGATAGAAATTAGGCCATGTCTGCTTAAGGGACTGCTCAGTAGCACAGCCAAGAAGGAACAAGGAGCAATGGAGATAGGGGGAAGTGGTTACCTCTTTCCTGACTTGTAAAGGTATTGAATTACCCAATTACCATATCAAAAGGTAAATTTTATCTCACCGTAAGAAAGGCATACATGAGCTTGGTCACATGATCCCTGGTCACCATATTAGTTTGATGACAGAATGTCACCACATTCCCTCACTTTTTTTTCTCTTATGTTGAGCACATTTAAAAGTGAGAGAAAGAATATAGTCAAACAGGGGTTGCATCACCCCACATTCCCCCAATTTCTATTGTTTTCAGTTGTTCCATTTTTTAAATTAACCACTGCCCAAGTGGGTTAATTCATTAATATTAATGTTCATTAATATTATATGGTAATGTGTTCATGTGAAGTAGTAATATCTAGACGCAATCAACCCCATACAGTAATTATCACTAGTTTATGACACAATATGATGTTTCATTTTGCCTGGGACTGGAATCTGAAGACTGTGACTGATCTGTGTGCTTGATAGCTGTGATTTTAGAATGAACTCTTCTTGAATATTGTCTTTGCCAATCCATTACAAAGCTTGAGGTTTGTAGGTTTAATGACACATGCAAGTTCATGAGTGTAGGGTAAACTCATTCTGTGACCACCTTGAAATGACACAAATTCCTGCTTCTTGCTGTTCCTTTACCCTCATTCTGGGCTGTGTTAATAGTTTGACTTGGTAATCTCAGCACTTCTTCATCTGTATAGTATCCATTTCCAGGATAATAGTTTGACGTGTAATCCCAGCACTTCTTCATCTGAATAGTAATCATTTTCAGGTTAATAGTTTGTCTTGGTAATCCCAGCACTTCTACAGCTGTATAGTAAACTGTGACAGGACATGTCAGTTACCTTCGCCTCTCTGGGCCTTCCAATTAAAATGTTCTTTGACTCAAACACAGACAATGAAATATGTACAACAGTAATCAGCATATTGTCTTGTGTCAAAGGCTTAACTAGTTTTGTCTAATAAAATCTATTTGGTTGTGGTGTCTTAAGGCTATGTTTACATTTTAGAGGTATGTAAAAGACCCACAAATGTCTCCTGAAATTTTTATTAATTTAGACATTTACTCCACACCTGATGGAGAGTTGAACACAAAACCATATTAGTTATTTTATAATTTACTGATGAATACATGCAATAATCACAAAATGTACATAGTTTACACCGAAAATTATTATACATGAACGTGAGTGGGAAAGATGTAAGGGTGAAAAATGTATTTGCAATGGAATGTAGGTGCAAATTCTCATACCCATAACTATTTAACCCCCTGCGGATAGCCAAATAGAACAAATAGCATACATTGTCACTTTATTATTTATACCATCTTCACTCAAACAATCTAATTTCCCTATATTCTTAATGACAAAAAACAAAACAAAAAAAAAACAAAGCATCAAAGATGGAGAGAGAAGAAAAAAAAGTAGATTGAATGCTACCATTACACAGTTTGGCAGCGTGCAATCTATAGAAAACTGTCTGTTGCTATTCAAAAATCAAAATAAAAAATCAACTTGAGGTTATATTTGTTGGTAACCAAATGAAAAAAAATGCTTTTAATGTTTTTACTGTTGTAAACCAACAGAAAGTTACACTATCACATCTCTCCAGTGTGATCAAATATAAGCCTCACATTGGCAACAATTCACTTAATCTATGAATTTATAATTATTAATCCAGCATCAAAAAATAAATAAAACATAGCTGGCAGTGCAGGCGTGCTAAACTAATAAAAACAAAAATTATTTGGAATTTGGCCCACCTGACTGTAATGAATGAATTTAGAGGCTTATCCTTAATATGACAAAAAAAAAAAAAATATATATATATAACAATACATACTAAGGTCCTCTTTAAACTGGAGTGTTACGAGATAATGGTGAGACAGATAAAATATAGAAACAAAAGAAAAACAAACATACATACAGCTGTAGAGGACAACAAACATTATGGGAGTTATTCATTGCTGGGGACCCCCAATTGATCAGTATTTCCCTCCCTCATCTGTTCCCTAAGCGCTTTCACGTCTGCTTCCAATCTCTCAGTCTGTCTCTTTAGGTCCCAGTAGTCTCTATTCCCTTCTTTATTCCTCCAATTATCCCAATTCCGTCTATTGGTCTGATGCTCATCCCATCTATGGTTCCTTTTCCAATTATTCTCCCAATAACTGTTCCTGTTGTTTCTCTGTTTTTCTTGCCAACTGTGATTTTCCCAGTTATCTCTCCTTTTTAGCCTCTTCCATGTATTATTATTATTCCAATTATTATTGATTGCCTTAGGCTCCTCCCATCTATTTTTCCAATTATCTCCCATTACATTACTTCCTTTAGAACTGTCCCTATTCCTATGGTCCCTCTGTGGATCTCTCCATCTTTTGTCAAAGTCCTGTTTTGGTCTCCAGTTCTCATTATCCCTCTTGTTCTGGGGTACATCCCACCTCTGGCTTCTCCATTTACCATCTATATCTCGACCAGAGTCAACCTTGAATGTTCTTATGGCTGAAACAGAGAAGGCCTGTTCTGAGAAAGGATGCTTAATCCACCAATTGTCAGCTCTAGTTAGTAGCATTTCTAAGTCTGCTGGTGTTGGATCAAAAAGCCTGACAAATTCTTGACACTCCCAGGGAAGGGCTTCCATTACTTTAGCAATGTGTTTTGATGAGCCCAACACCAGGGGCTGTTGAGGTTGGCGTAGTGTATACCAGAAAAATATCCTTTGAGCTACCTCTCTAGGACCATCTGCTGGCCTCATCGTAATATTAGCTATTTCTTTCTCTATGCTGAGTAGATAGAAATTAGTTGCAGCAATTCTTCCTGCCTGATCAGACAAACTGTTATTGAATCCCAATAGTCTGCTAGCCAAAGGACCCATAGCATATTCTAAAAGTTCTGTCCATTCCTCTAAGTTAAGACCTCCTTTTTTAGCTCTATTTGCTCCCCTCATAAACCAGTGTGTAAAAGTATTAAAGTTGTTATTTGGCATACTTCCCTACCATTTCTGGAAATTTTCTTTTTCTGTGATTGACATAGTGCTTGTCTGTCTAGAGAAACTAGTAGGCATTTCTCTTGCATTAAAGTGTTCGGTTATTATTAAAGGGGATTGTGGGACACAGTTAACAACTGGCGCATTTCCTTTGTGTTTGGTTCCGAGCACTGGTTCTGTACTTTTAGATATAAAATGAGACTGGCCTGGGCATACTTTAGGAATCTCCTTATCCCATTTATTTATGTTTTCTTTAGTTTTCATTTTATATTCCATAACTAGGTTTTGGAGTTCAGTGATCTTAGCACTATAGGCATCTCTCTGTTGTTCTATTTCCTTTAATTCCTTCTCCAACCCCTCGGTCATTTTGTTTGTTCTTAAGACAGCTATTTTAAAACAATCTCTTTTATCAAGAGCATCTTCCATTTTATTAGTGGTTACTAAATTAGCTTGCTGCAATTTGAGTACCATGCTTGTCAAACCCCCTATTGCAGCAACAACTGCTTGTGCCACCAAGCTTTTCTTTTTCTTGTTTCAAAACATCCATGAAACCTTCATATTTTCCACAATTGGGGCCTGCTGGTTCTGGAAGCTCATATGGTCCATCATGTTTGTCAATGTCATTCTTGAAGTACTCTAGTACTTCTGCAGAAAAATACTTAGTACCTAGATATGACATTTTAAAACCGTGCTCTCCCTGAGTCTTTAATCGAAATAGACCAGCAGACCAAGTAAAAAAAACAACAAGCTTTTAACAATGGGATTCATTTAAAAAAAAACTGAAACTGGCTCCAAAGAGATTGAACCATTTGAGAAACTTAATTACATTAACCTATTCAAACAAACTCTTGTCTTTTAAGAAAAAAAACTTCACAGTCTCAATACAACAAATGTCCACAGATAGCAAAGCACAAAACCACCCTTCTGCCTTTGTTTAAGTGCAGTGTGGGGGGTTTACAGATAAACAGAATGATTTAAAGGAAGGTATGGGAACTGGAAAATACCTGACTGTAACTTCAGCACAATGATAATTCCCAACCATATAACAATCTAACATAGGCACTTTTACTTCATAATATTTACCTCAAATACAAACTGTTCATTTTCTATTAAACACACTCCAGTGTAAAAATGGAAATATTAGCCTGGCTAAACAATAGCCACCACACTGTATTAGCCCCAATACCTTTATCGTGTAAACACAATGCTCCTACCCAGAATTCAATGGTTCAAACAGACAAAAGTTAACCAAAAAAAAAAACAGTTTGCTATTTAAACTTAGAATGCAGGGAAGCCACAAAATGTACAAAATGTAACATCTAAAAACAATTACAATATATTCAGTTTAGTTCTAGTTAGTTGCAACAGGAGAGAGACACTACAGCCCATGGGCTATTAAAAATGGCGAAACATCAATAGTACCAATGCAGTGCAACTATTCAATCTTCCCTTTTAATCACCAATACTTTAAAAGGGTGCATAAACAAAATTAAACTATAATTGCTACAATTTGCAACAAAATGCGTTCTGTCAGTCACAATGCACAAACATTATGCTCCTATCCTGAATTCAATTATTCAAACAGACAAAAGATAACAACAAAAAAGTTTCCTATTTAAACTCAGAATGCAGTGAAGCCACACAATTTAACACATAAGAAAACAATTAAAATAGATTAAGTTTCATTCTAGTTAGTTGCAACAAGAGAGAGACAATACAGCACATGGGCAATTAAAAATGGCCAAAACATCAAAGGTTCCAATGCAGTGAAACTATACAATTTTCCCCTTTTATCACCAATACTTTAAAACTGTACAGAAACAAAGTTAAACCTATAAATGCTACAATTTGCAACAAAAGATGTTCTGTCAGTCACAATACACAAATTCAAAACAGTCAACAAAACACATATGTATATTTGTTTCAACAAAATGAATCCTATGCTATAAAGTCTCTTTTTTTTAGATTATGTATCAATATGGTAGTTATTGCGCCTCACAAACATTTGTTGTAGAAGTCTAAAATTCGTGGTCGCCAAATGTGGTAAATTACCAAACTCTATAAATTATTATGTACGCATACACGTATAAACTCTGGTCCGTCTACTTTAACAAATATTTATTCAGAGACAAAACAACAACAACATACAAATAATGACACACAATCTAACTAACTATACCACCACCAACAGCAACAACAACCTAACTAACAATAACAACTACATCTTATAAAATCCCACTCACAGTTCACCATGATAGAAATTAGGCCATGTCTGCTTAAGGGACTGCTCTGTTGCACAGCCAAGAAGGAACAGGGAGGAATGGAGATAGGGGAAGTGGTTACCTCTTTCCTGACTTGTAAAGGTATTGAATTACCCAATTACCATATCAAAAGGTAAAGCTTATCTCGCTGTAAGAAAGGCATACATGAGCTTGGTCACATGATCCCTGGTCACCATATTAGTTTGATGACAGAATAAAAAAAAAAATCCTTTGACATGTGTCACATGTCCTGCAGTAGGTCTGCAGATCTTTGGATATCCCCGGCCAGAAGAACGTCTGGGTAAGACGGTCCTTAGTTTTCTTGATACCCAGATGTCCTGCTAGCGGGATATCATGGTTAAGCTTTAGCAGCTCGGCCCGGTATTTACGGGGCACGACTAACTGTCTTTTTATAACTTGGGCTGCCCCCTGCCCCACTCCCCCTGTGACCCTATATAGCAGTCCCTTGTCCCAGTGAAAGCTCTCGTGGACACTACATTCCTTAGAGACCCCTACTGCCTTCCTGTACCCTGCTAAGGTGGGGTCTGACTGCTGGGCTTGGCCAAAATCTTGGGGAGCGCCCCAGAAAGGAATAGGGATAGGGCAGGTTACGGGGGTTTCGGATCCTACCTGTGGTTCCTCAGAGTGTGTCGGTCCAGCACGGTGGGCTTGTGCCCTGGTCGTCACGGGGCAGGTTCCAGCGGAATCGGGGTGAGTCAGCTGTGAAGTTAGGCACCCCAAATCGTTCCCCAACAAAACTTCCGCAGGTAATCCCAACATGCCCACCTCCATCTGCTTGGCTCCGGTGCCCCAGTTTAACTGTACCCGGGCTGTGGGTAACTTGTGGATGGCGCCCCCTGTCACCCTTACGGCTACAGTCTTATGGGTGCGCGCTTTTGCAGACACCGTGTGAGGTTGTACCAAGGTAAGGGTAGCCCCAGAGTCTCGTAGCGCCTCTGCCTCTTTTCCGTCTATGGGGACCCATTGTCTGTGGTGCACCCGGTTGTCTCCCTCGGCTTGGGCTAGGTTCACCTCATGTAGTATGGCCCACTGCTCTGCATCTAGGCTGTGTTCTTCCAGGGGTTCATGCTGGTAGTGGTGAGCGGCGGCCCTTGGTGGTGGTGGGGGCCGCTCCCAGTTGCCTCTGCTTCGCTGAGGGCAATGCATTTTGTAGTGCCCTGGCTGGTTGCACTGGTGACATACTACAGGGGCTCTTCTATTAAAAGTAGGCTGTGTCGTGGGTAGTACCGGGTTAGGTCTGGGGTTGGCTACAGGACCTGGCGTTGGGGCACTGTACCCTACCAGAGGACGGTTCCCACCCGCTTCTCCTTTTCTTCCCTCATGATGCTCATCTGCTAACTTCGCTGCTTCCTCGACTGTGGACAGCTTCCTGTCTCTGACCCAGTCCCTGGTATCTGCAGGAGTGTGGTCAAAAAATTGTTCTAGCAAGAAAAGTTGTAGTACTTCCTCTAGCGTTGTAGCTTGGCAGCCTTGTATCCAATTTTGTGCTGCCCGATACATCCTAAAGGCCCACTCGGTGTAGGAGTCTCGGCCCCCTTTCCGTAATGCCCGAAACTTCTTTCTGTAAGTCTTTGGGGTCACGGCATACCTGGCTAGCAGAATGTCCTTTACCCTGGCGTAGTCGTGTATGGCTGTGTCAAGAACTGCTCGGTACGCCTCCGCTGCTCGGCCTGTCAGTTTACTGCTTAAAATCGCAGCCCATTGCTCTGATTCCAGACCTTCCAATGCGCATTGATGCTCAAAATCCTGCAGGTATGCGTCAATTTCCATATCTCCATCTGCAAAACTTTTAAAAGCAGCATAGTTGATCTTTCTCCGCTGCCCTCCATTTATAGATCCAGCTAGGGAAGCGTTGTCCCCTTGGTTCACGCTTGCCTGCAGCGCTCTCCGCTCTGCGCTCACTTGTGCCAGCACTTGGGACACCATCTCAGGTGTGGGATTTGGCCCATAAAGATTTAGCCTCCACATCACCTTTTGTTGGAATTCAGCTTCCTCCTGGCTGACATTCGCCATGCTCCTGGATTGGTCGCCCTCCATCAATTCTGCTATGAGGATAGCTTTCTTTTTGTTGCTGGCTACTTGTCCCCGAGCTTCCAGCAGATCCTTTAGAGTGGTCCTTTTTAGTTTCTTGTACTGCTGGGCCATTCACCAGTTGTCCTTATGCGTTCCATTCAATCCCGTTGCTTGCCACCAGTTGTTAAGACCTGCAGTGGTTATGGTGCTGTGGTCTTGGTTCCCTCTCCCAACAGCTGAGCATGAGTGATTGTAGCTGCAGCAGGGAGTAGAGGAATAGAATAGATGAAATGCAGTTCCAAGGTGATTCTTCCCAACAAGTAGAGTAGCTCCCAAACATGAGCCTAGACTTCATGAAGGGTGTAACAGGAATAGCCTTTATTGAAAACACACGGGCTTTTATGAGAAATCCTCCTGCAAGAGGACCTCCCACAGCAAACAAAAGCAACAGCCAATCATCACACAGATTTACAGTATTACACGCCTCCTCTCTGCCTGGGAGATATTGAGATAAGTTAAGGAATAAATCAATTATCTCCAGGCAGAGAGCACATAATTTCTCCAAAACTTAGAACACCCCTTTCCCCACAAGGTATACCCACAAATTACATATCCCCTGATAGCCCTGATCTGGGGGACAAACATATCCAAATTTCACACAGATCGGTTCAGGGGTTCTGAAAAAGTGTGGAGGGTCCCTTTTACCGACCACACACGCAGCTCCTGCCCAAAACAGTTCCATGAATTCAGTGTGTGCGGTGGGTCAATTCACAAAACTGAAAAAAACGAATAAAAGTCCCAAATGGATTCCCCTGGCTCATAGTAGCGATTGCTCCCTGTGAAGGAATTTCATGTACTTACCTGGGTGCCTTCAGTTAAACCTTCTCCCTGCTGTTTAAATGCCTGTATCAGTTCGTTTTAATATGTATGGAATGAATGTATTCATTTACCGAACGGAGACCACACACCCTGGGTAGCAATCAGCATTAGAACGCAGAGAAAACTGCAACTTAATTGCTACTCTTAAAACTCACAAATGCGGTCAGCGGGGCTTACGCATGAATTTCCTGGAACTAATTTCGGCACGGCAAACATGCGAATGCCCGGTCCCCATGGAAGTCCTGGATGAATACGTTCCCCTCCACGAATCAAACTGGCGTTCAGTAGATAGAATCTACCGAATGAGGGGAACATTCACATATAACCAGCTGCACCATACGAACGGTGGTTTTCGTGTAGTTAGATGCGAACGGAGACCGGCTCTTGCTACTGATTCTATGGAACTCTAGATCGGATACCTCCACATGGCGAGCCGGTCAAACTTCCACACGATGCGACACGGAAACTACCGAACGGAAATTCGTGAGATTTGGATATATGACTACCAGTATCCTCAGCTACCCAGGGATGTAGAAATTATGTTTGTATGTTGCATAGAAAGTTATTTTCTGAAATTGTTAAAAACTGTAATATTTCTGGCCAGCAGATAATTGAGCTTTGTGTATTGTAGAAACTCAATTATCTAGCCTGGCCCAGGGGAGGAGTTTTGTGTTGCATAAATTGTGAGTTCTGTGTGCCAGTAAATTAGTCTTGTTCCAGCATTAAGCTTTGGCTCATGTGTGGATTATTCGTCGATTCCAGGGATATTTCTACTTGTGGAATATTGGGTGATTTTCTTTTATGGGAAGAAGGGAATGCTTGACGGTGATACCCTATACTACCGTCACACTCCCCTTGTTCGTTCGCACAGAACTACCGAATGAGGCTTTCCTGGCTGTTCGGGAAGTATGAGAAGCCGGCGTTCGGTAGTTTCTAGCCGTAGTTCGTGAGGTTGAGTGTCCGATTTTAGTTCCAGACACTCGACGACCAAGTCCCGCTGGATCTCCTCGTGCGAACAAGATGGTCGCCGTTTTCTTTTCCACGTGACGTTCGGTTATACGAACAGCGGCCGCCCAGGGAGTTTTCTTTGAAGTAAATGAGCCAGGAGGGTGGTCGGCGTTCGGTAGTTTCAAACTACCGAACCAATCCATTCAATATACAAGTATTCACATATAAAAATACCGAATAAAAAGGGAGAAAATAACAGGTAAAAGTCTATTTTCTTCACAGACGCAAGTCTCTTTTCAGCTATTTAACTATGTAACTTATTATAATAAAATAATAAAAGAATAATAACGTAGTAAAAGGAGTAAAATGGCACACTCAATGTAAAAGTAGCCAAAGACCTTTATTAACACAGTAGTAAAACAAATTAAAAGTCCACAACGCGTTTTGTCACAAGGGGCTTCTTCAAGTGTACATAGTATTAGCCTAGCACATGTGGGTTTATATAGGGCCCAAACAAGCAACAAATTGAAAATGGTGTCTTATTTGACCTTTGACCCTAAATGAGGTCAAATGACATGTTTAACCCCTTGACGACCGATGACGGTTCAGTACCGTCATCGGAAACATCCCCATGAGGACCAATGACGGTCCTGAACCGTCATAACGGTCTTGGGATATTTACGTGATCTCCGTCGTTCCCCCCGGCGGCGATCAGCGTTTCACCCGGTCTGGGGGAACTGCCCGTCTGCCCAGACAGTCTCCCTGCGGCAGATTAGGACCCTGCGGCCACGTGATCGCTCGATCACATGGCCGCAATAGGTGCCTGTGTATCTGCCTGCAGGGGGACTGTCTGTGCTGACAGGCAGTCTCCCTGCATCTGTAAAATCAAAAATGAAGTTGAACAAAATCAATTAGTGTAAAAAAAAAAATATATGTGTATTTATATATACATGTATTATATCTATATATAATATATATATATATACAGTTGCAAGAAAAAGTATGTGAACCCTTTGGAATGATATGGATTTCTGCACAGATTGGTCATAAAATGTGATCTGATCATCATCTAAGTCACAACAAAGAAAATCACCGTCTGCTTAAACTAATATCACACAGAACGGCAACTGACCAATAACGCCGGACCAATAGCCTTTACCATCCCAAAGAGAAAGAGGCCCAGGGGTGATAAGGAAATATTAAAGGAACACAAAAGGCAGACACAAAGTACAAACCTACGAGTATTCCTCTACTCGAGCTGCAAACCGGTCACCCATATGAATACCCTAACGTGTTAACCATGATCAAATACCATATCTGTATAGTACGTAACATTGTTCGAGTGATGTTCACACATTCTACGATGGGACCTGCGCGTCCGTTATATCTTGTATGCTTGTTCAATCTATAGATTCATGCTGTTGTACATTGATCAGGGCAAACCCTGAAATGTTTATGTTTGAATAAAGCCTTTTTGAAACTAAACTAATATCACACAAAGAATGAAATGTTGCCATGTTTTTATTGAACACACCATGTAAACATTCACAGTGCAGGTGGAAAAAGTATGTGAACCCTTGGATTTAATAACTGGTTGAACCTCCTTTGGCAGCAATAACTTCAACCAAACGTTTCCTGTAGTTGCAGATCAGACGTGCACAACGGTCAGGAGTAATTCTTGACCATTCCTCTTTACAGAACTGTTTCAGTTCAGCAATATTCTTGGGATGTCTGGTGTGAATTGCTTTCTTGAGGTCATGCCACAGCATCTCAATCGGGTTGAGGACAGGACTCTGACTGGGCCACTTCAGAAGGCGTATTTTCTTCTGTTTAAGCCATTCTGTTGTTGATTTACTTCTATGCTTTGGGTCATTGTCCTGTTGCAACACCCATCTTCTGTTGAGCTTCAGCTGGTAGACAGATGGCCTTAAGTTCTCCTGCAAAATGTCTTGATAAACTTGGGAATTCATTTTTCCTTCGATGATAGCAATCCGTCCAGGCCCTGATGCAGCAAAGCAGCCCCAAACCATGATGCCCCCACCACCATAATTCACAGTTGGGATGAGGTTTTGATGTTGGTGTGCTGTGCCTTTTTTTCGCCACACATAGTGTTGTGTGTTTCTTCCAAACAACTCAATTTTGGTTTCATCTGTCCACAGAATATTTTGCCAGTACTGCTGTGGAACATCCAGGGGCTCTTGTGCAAACTGTAAACGTGCAGCAATGTTTTGTTTGGACAGCAGTGGCTTCCTCTATTGTATCCTCACATGAAATCCATTCTTGTTTAGTGTTTTACGTATTGTAGATTCGCTAACAGGGATGTTAGCATTTGCCAGTGACATTTGTAAGTCTTTAGCCGACACTCTAGGATTCTTCTTCACCTCATTGAGCAGTCTGTGCTGTGCTCTTGCACTCATCTTTACAGGACGGCCACTCCTAGGGAGAGTAGCAGCAGTGCTGAACTTTCTCCATTTATAGACAATTTGTCTTACCGTGGACTGATGAACAGCAAGGCTTTTGGAGATACTTTTATAACCCTTTCCAGCTTTATGCAAGTCAACAATTCTTAATCGTAGGTCTTCTGAGAGCTCTTTTGTGCGAGGCATCATTCACATCAGGCAATGCTTCTTGTGAAAAGCAAACCCAGAACTGGTGTGTATTTTTTATAGGGCAGGGCAGCTGTAACCAACACCTCCAATCTCATCTCATTGATTGGACTCCAGTTGGCTGACATCTCACTCCAATTAGCTCTTGGAGATGCCATTAGTCTAAGGGTTCACATACTTTTTCCACCTGCACTGTGAATGTTTACATGGTGTGTTTAACCCCTTAAATCCGGAGGGCGTACTATTACGCCCTGCAGGAGCCGGCTCTAAACGCTGGCGGGCGTAATAGTACGCCCTCACTTTAATGGCCTCCCACGTGGCCAGCGATAATCGCCCGCTGCAGATCGCGGACGGGGGGGTTGCCAGGCCCCCCAGGCAACCCCTCCTGTGGCCGGTGACCGCGATCTGCAGTCTCTGATCGCAGTGACAGGCTGTCACTGCGATCAGTATTTAACGTGTGTCAGCCGATTCCAAATCGGCTGACACACGTGGCCAGCGGCTACCCCTGTGCAGATCGCGGTCGGGGGACTTACCTGGACCCCCAGGCAGTCCCCCTGGGGTCAGTGACCGCGATCTGCACTGTCTGAGATCGCAGTGACAGGCTGTCACTGCGATCTCAGAGCGCTCTGATCGCAGTGACAGCCTGTCACTGCGATCAGTGTTACATGTGTCAGCCTATTGGCTGACACATGTAACTAGCACAAAGATCCCCCTGCAGATTGGAAGGGGGGAGTGCTTGTACCACCCAGGCACTCCCCCCTGTGGCCAATTACCCAATGTGCAGGAGGTGATCACAGTGACAGGCAGTCACTGTGATCACTGATCCTGTGTGTCAGCCAGTGACACTGTCTCTGCCTCCTCTCCTGTAAAAAAAATAAAATATTAGTTTAAAAAAAAAAAATTACAGTTACATATAAAATATACTTAGATCATATATATTACATATATATGATCTAAGTATATATATATATATATATATATATATATATATATATATATATATATATATACACACACACACACACACACACACACATTTACACATACACGAAGTGTATTTAAATATTAATATATATAATTATTTATATATATTATTTACTATCAATTAGTTGTTATATATATATATTTATATATATTATAAAAAAATGTAAATACGTAAAAAAAATAAAATTAAAAAAATAATTAAAAATAAATAATAAAAAATATATAGATGTTTGTTATTTCGTTCTAACTGTATTGTGATATTAATATATATATATTTATATCAAAATACACGTAGAACGAAATAATATATATATCTATATACATAAATATATACGTATATATCACTATATATATACCTATATATAAATAAAAATATTAAAAAAAATTATATATATATATATATATATATGTATATATACACATATGTATATATATACATATATTAATTCTACACATATATTTATGTAATATTTTTACATAATTAGGTATCCTAATTAATTACAATTAGCGAGACCTGACTGACAACCCATGCCAAAAGTATAGGGAATTTAATTTGCTAGCACTATATTTAACCCTATAACTTTCCAAGACACCATAAAACCTGTAAATGGGGGGTACTGTTTTACTCGGGAGACTTCGCTGAACACAAATATTAGTGTTTCAAAACAGTAAAATGTATTACAACGATGATATCGCCAGTAAAAGTGAAGTTTTTTGCATTTTTCACGCACAAACAGCACTTACACGGACGATATTATTGCTGCAATACTTTTTACTGTTTTGAAACACAAATATTTGTGTTCAGCGAAGTCTCCCGAGTACAACAGTACCCCTCATGTACAGGTTTTATGGTGTTTTCAAAAGTTACAGCGTCAAATATAAGGCTTGTGTTTCATTACAAAAATTCGCCAGATTGGTTACGTTGCCTTTGTGACCCTATGGTAGCCCAAGAATGAAAATTACCCCTATGATGGCATACCATTTGCAATAGTAGACAACCCAAGGTATTGCAAATGGGGTATGTCCAGTCTTTTTTAGTAGCCACTTAGTCACAAACACTAGCCAAAATTGGCGTTTTTTGCATTTTTCACACACAAACAAATACTAACGCTAACTTTGGCCAGTGTTTATGACCAAATGGCTACTAAAAAAGACTGGACATACCCCATTTGCAATACCTTGGGTTGTTTACTATTGCAAATGGTATGCCATTATGGGTGTAAATTGAATTCCTGGGCTACTATACAGTCTCAAAGGCAACGTAACCAATCTGGCGAATTTCAATTTCAAATGTAACGTGCTGTATTTGACCCTGTAACTTCCCAAAACACCATAAAACCTGTACATAGGGGGTACTGTTTTACACGTGAGACTTTGCTGAATACAAATATGTGTATATTATTGCAGTAAAAGCAAACAGTATTATGACATTGACAGTTAAAATGTCATGTAGAACTAAAAAAATAACAAAATTTCTTATTTTCTACCATTTTTTTCATATTAAATTATGTTTCATAGCTAAATATTTGATATTAAATGAAAGCCCTGTTTCCCCTGAATAAAATGATATATAATAAGGGTGGGTGCATTTACTATGAAAGAGGTGAATTATGGTTGGACAGACATGTAGCGCAAATGCCAGGTTTTGTTTACATTTTGTTTTGTTCACAACCTGTACATTTGGCTCCGTCCTTAAGGGGTTAATAAAAACATGGCAACATTTCATTCTTTGTGTGTTATTAGTTTAAGCAGACTGTGGTTGTCTATTGTTGTGACTTAGATGATGATCAGATCACATTTTATGACCAATTTGTGCAGAAATCCATATCATTCCAAAGGGTTCACATACTTTTTCTTGCAACTGTATATATTTCATATATATAATTTCATACTAAGTGTATTTATATATAGATATATGAATATAAAAATACATGTATAAGTAAATTACACACGTATATATATATAATATATATAACTATATATATTATATATATATATGATTATAAAATTCAAATAATAAGTAAATAAAAAAAATAAAAAAATGTAAAAATAATTTTTAATAATTAAAAAAAAATTATATATATATATGTAATTTTATTCTAACGGTATTTTGATAGTTATATATATATATATATATATATATATATATATATATATATAAAATTTAATCAATGTTTCAGTCTGGCCAATCAGACTTTCATCAGGACAATGAAAGTCTGATTGTCCAGACTGAAACGTTGATTTTTAACTTGGAGCATTAAAAGTTAATTTTTATTTGAAGATTAAGTCCGTGGAGTGCTATTTACCTTTATCTCTATATCTTTGCCAGATAAGCACCAGGCAGTGATTCTATTTTACAGTGAGTGCAACACTGCTTGTATATATATATATATATATATATATATATATATATATATATATATATATTTATATCAAAATACACTTAGAATGAAATGATATATGTATCTATGTATAAATAAATAAATAAAAATAATACAAAATATACATATATCCATATACATAATTACATAAATAATTTCATAAATATACACGTAGACTTCAAATATATAAATATGTATATATATTTAAATTCTACGTGCATATTTATGTAATATTTTTACATAATTAAGTAATTTTATTGATTGCAATTTGAAGGACATGCCTGACAACCCAGGCTGAAAGTCCAGAGAATTTAATTTGCTAGCACTGTGTTTAACCCTGTAACTTTCTATGACACCCTAAAACCTGTACATGGAGGGTACTATTTTACTTGGGAGACTTCGCTGAACACAAATATTAGTCTTTCAAAACAGTAAAACATATCACAGCTATGATATTGTCAGTGAAAGTGAAGTTTTTTGCATTTTTCACACACAAACGGAACTCTCGCTGATGATATTATTGCTGTAATACGTTTTACTGTTCTGAAACATAATAATATTTGTGTTCAGCGAAGTCTCCCGAGTATAACAGTACCCCACATATAGAGGTTTTATAGTGTTTTTTAAAGTTACAAGGTCAAATATAAGGCTTGATTTTATTTATTTTTTTCATTGAAATTTGTCTGATTGGTTATGCCTTTTTTTAGTAGCTACTTAGTCACAAACACTGGCCAAAGTTAGCGTTTGTGCATTTTTAACACAGAAACAAATATAAATGCTAACTTTGGCCAGTGCTTGTGACTACAGGAATATATATACATAAAAATATATAGACTTAAAACTGTAGACCATTATAGGATATACAGAATGATAAAATCAGTTATATATAAAACTGACAGGGGCCCAGATGGCAGTCAGTCCATTCGTGAAAAGATGTATTGTATAGAAAGGAATAGGATAAATTCTTAAAAAGTTATAAAAAGTTAAAAAGGTCAAAATCTACAGTCATGCCTTTTGGGGCCAAGGTTTTTAAATTAAAAAAAGAATTCCATTTCTTTTTGGCCTAAATTTTTTTTAAGATCTCCACCTCTCCAAGGGATTTTACATTTCTGAATTCCTATACATTTTAGATTCTTTGGATTTTTATCATGGATTAGAAAATGTTTTGATACAGAGTGGTTGGGATAACTGTAGCGGAGTAGTAATATTATCCACGGTATCTCCGCTGGCAGACAGAATATAGCAGGTACAAATCCAGGTAGCGTAGTTACAATCTCTTTCTCCCAAGAACTAGACGACACATAGCTTGGAGGTCAACTGAGGTTTTAATCACAGGGCACAGTATTTATGTGGTTACAAATGTAAGGGGTTTCCCAAGTCACATTGCAGGGTTTGTCCATTAGGGGACTACATGGGGGACTGAGTTTTACAGACAGAATACCCATCATACACTGCTGTACCAAGGAAATAATTAACCCAGAATGCATTGCTAATGGGATTATCTCTTGGTACAGAGAAATACAGTTTTTACATTAAAATCCATAACCGACATAATTTTCCTGCTAGGCAGCTACTAAACCCTTTATTACATAGCTGGACAGTTAAGGGAACTTGCGCTCAGATCCCAGCACAAATAACCGAACGCAGTTCATTTTCCCGTATCAGGACCACTTAGTTTTTAAATGGTTGTGTTAATTGAGGGAATAAAAGTCCTGAAAGCAGAAAACTCCCGAACGACTCAGAAGTCCAGCGGGGCTTGTGTTGCAGAGTAGCCGAATTTAGTTCCAGGCACTTGACGACAAAACCCCGCTGGCTTTCCATGAACAAAGATGGCCGACTTGCTCCGACTTGGCTCAGTACTGCTCCCAATCCAAACATCGAAGCGTCTGTATGGACGAGAAAGCGTTTAGTTGGATCAGGAGCAGCAAGTACAGGTGTGTTAACAAGAGCAGTTTTTAGTTGTTGGAATGCCTGTTCACACTCTGGGGTCCATACTACTAACTTAGGAAGGTTTTTGCGAGTTAAATCTGTGAGGGGTTTGGCCAAGGGTGCTGTAATCGGGCACAAATTTTCGATAATACCCTGCGGTACCTAAAAATGCTAGGACCTGGGTTTTGATGCGGGAGGTTGGCCATTTGGCTACGGCCTCTATTTTGGCAGGTTCTGGCTTTTGCTGGCCGCTTCCTACCCGGTGTCCTAGATACTGAACTTAGACCAGTCCTACATGGCACTTACTGGGCTTAAGGGTTAGTCCTGCCTCTCTAATGCGATCTAGTATGGCTCATACATGGCTCAGGTGGTCGGTCCAGGAATAACTAAAAATCGCTATGTCGTCTAGACGTGTATTCCTAAAACCCGTCTAATAGCCGGTCCACCATCCTTTGGAAGGTGGCCGGAGCGTTTTTCATTCTGAATGGCATGACCCTAAACTGGTACAGGCCAAACGGAGTGACAAACGCCGACCTAGGGATGGTGTCTTTGGCTAAAGGGATTTGCCAATACCCTTTACAAAGGTCTATCGTGGTTAGGTATTGGCCCCTGGCCATCTTGTCTAAGAGCTCGTCTATCCGTGGCATAGGGTAGGCATCTGATACTGTTTTATCATTGAGCCTTATATAATCTACGCAGAAGCGGGTAGTTCCATCCCGCTTCGGCACTAGTACCACTGGGGAAGCTCATGGGCTATCCGAATGTTCGATGACCCCTAGTTGCAACATTTCCTCAATCTCCTTACGCATACTCTCTTTTACCTACTTGGGGATGCAGTAAGGAGGTTGACGGAGGGGTGTTTGTCTTGGGGTTTCTAACCGGTGGGTGGCTAATGGATTATACCCGGGGAGATTGGAAAAGGTGGCCCCCTTTTCCCTAATTAAACTTTGGGCCTGGGTTCTCTCCTGAGGATTCAAGCGCTCCCCTAGTTGTACGGCTTCCAGATCCTCGTTTTCTCCTTCTCTCGCTAGGAGGTCTGGTAGTGGCAGGTTATCCACATCCTCTGCGGCAGAGGCACAGATCGCGGTTACCTCCTCTGTGTGCTCGTGGTAGGGTTTCAGCATGTTCACATGGAGCATGCGTCTGCCTCCTGTGCCCGCGCACGGGACAATTATATAGGTGGTATAGCAGATTTGCTCCACCACCTTGAATGCGCCGTGTCAGAAGGCCTGCAGCTTGTCACTAGGGACTGGCCGTAGGATTAACACCTTCTGCCCGACCTGAAAGCTGCGGTCCCTGACCCCCTTATCATACCATCTGCGCTGTTGTTGTTGGGCTGCCTGGAGGTTGTTACGTACTGTCTGGGTTAAAGCCTCCAGGCGCTCCCGAAACTCCAGTACATATGGTACAATAGGGGTACCATTAGTGATAACCCCCCCATCCCAGTGTTCTCTAATTAAATCTAGGGGTCCCCTCACTCTCCTCCCAAACAATAATTCAAAGGGCGAGAACCCCGTGGATTCTTGGGGCACTTCCCTATAGGCGAACAGCAAGTGAGGTAGAAATTGCTCCCAGTCTTTCTGCGTGTCTATGAACGTCCGAATCATCTGTTTAAGTGTTCCGTTGAAACGTTCACAGAGACCGTTAGACTGGGGGTGGTAGGGTGAGTTAAGGATAGATTTTACCCCACATACTTTCCAGAGCTGGTGGGTGACCTCTGCTGTTAATTGGGTACCCCTATCAAAATAATCTCCCAGGGAAATGCGCGACAGTCTCGGCATGTACATTTGTTAGGGCCACTGCTTAGGGGTATCTGGTGGCGTAGTCCACTACGGTCAAGATGTACTTATTGCCGGAGGGACTAGGCTTTTTCAGCAGTCCGATTATGTCTACCGCTACTCGACTAAAGGGTTCTTCTATTATGGGTAGGGAGTGGAGTTTGGCTTTATAGTGGTCTCCCCTTTTCCCTACCTTCTGGCAGGTATCGCAGGTATTACAGTATTGTCTAATATCCTTGGAGATACCTGGCCAGAAGAAGTTTTGAGTCAGCCGATGTTTAGTTCGGCTGATTCCTAAATGACCCAACAAAGGTATGTTGTGTGCTATATGCAGTAACTCTTGTCTGTACTTCAGAGGCACAATTAACTGTTTTATGGGAATGGGGATAGACACGGCTACTACCTTCTCTGCATATCGGTATAATAACCCTTTATCCCAAACATATCTTTCTCCTTCTAAGCCTGCCTGGTTCTTGTCTATTCGGTCTTTGTAAACCTGCAGGGAAGGATCTAGAGCGACCTCGCTACCAAATTCTAGAGGGGCATCCCAGGGAAGGGCAGTGTGATTGTGGGTTGCATTGCTTACCTGAGCCTCAGAGTCATTGGGTTGTGCCGTGGTGCGAGCTTGCTGCCTGGTGACGACTGGGTATGCCTCCTGTACTGTGGTTCGTGGAACAAAAGCGGAGGTGAGCTCCCCAAAGTCATTTCCCAAAATAACATCTGCTGGCAAGTCTTGCATCATCCCCACCTCCATGTTTCCTGCCCCGCTCCCTAATTCAAATGTATCTTGGCAGTGGGAACCTTGTAGATTGCTCCCCCTGCCACCCGTACTGCTATACAATCCCCCGTAAGTTGGTCTTTTGGGACAAGGTGATTTTGGAACAAGGTGATAGTGGCCCCGGAATCTCTCAGTCCTTCCATACGTTTCCCTTCTACGTGGACAACTTGTTGATTGGCTTTGGCGGTCGTCGGATGCCGCTTGAACGGGGTTAACTTCATGGAGAGTGCGTAGAGGTTCCTCCACCTGGGTGGCTGTGGAGGGTTGGATGAATGCTTCCATCTGGTAGCAGTGTACTGCAGCTCTAGGGCCAGGCGGTTGGTCTTGGTTGGGCCATGGTGGTTGTTCCCTGTTTCGGGGACATTCCCTTTGTACATGCCCTAGTTGGTTGCAGGTATGGCATCGGATGTGTGCCTGGGTGGGGTACCTAGGTTGGTACTGATTGTTGGCTCCCCCGCGGCAGGCCGGTAGTGCTTGGCTGGGGAAATACCTTAGACGGTAGGCTTTGCTCTCACCTAGTGTCTTGGTGTTCGTCTGCTAGTTTAGCTGCATCTTGTAAGGTACACGGTTTACGGTCCCTTACCCAGTTCTGCATCTCTGTAGATAATCTCCGGTAGAACGGTTCCAACAGCAGTAGTTGCACGCATGGGCGTCCGCAGGAATTTTTCCAGGGGGGGGCATAATTGTAATGACATCCATGCTTGGTACCTTTTTGACAGTGTCATGAAAGGGAAGGGGCATAGCCATTATCACATAAAGCCAGGGTGAATAGCGTTTTCACAACTATGGTGTCAGGAATATATGTTTGTATTCCTGACACTATAGTGTTCCTTTAAGCAAATTAAAGGACATTTCTGGTCACCATAACAACTTCACCTAAATGAAAATGCTATGATGCCAGGAAGCCCCTGGGTGCTCGCTTTCCTTTAAGGGGTTAAATCGCTCTCAAATGGTTTAACCCCAAAGGCTTCCTCCAGCTCCAGGTCGCTCAGTGGTATTTGGCTTCTGAAACAGAGTGTCAGGAAGTGCAGATTGGCGTCAGGCATGGGTGCCGCTGACTGGCTAGAGTGGTCAGTTGACGCTCTAAGCCAATCGCTAGTTCCCAGTTCATAAAATATTTTTACTTTTTTATGAATGGGGAGCTACTGATTGGCTTAGAGTGCCAGCTGACCGCTCTAGCCAATCAGCAACACCCCTACCCAACAGCACTCTGTGCTTCCTGACACTCAGTAAATAAAAGTGAACACATTAACACCGATATTTTTTTACCTTTGGAGATGAGAAGGTCCAGTGTTTCCCTGCCAGACCCAGGTACCAAAGCCTTATGATGTTGTGTCCAGAATAAAGTGGAGGGTTCACTTCATTTGTCCTTCCTGCTCCAATCTCCTTTTCCTCTCCTTCATTTGACAGTCTTTTTTTTTCTTCTGACACTGTTTTCTATCCTTGGCCCCTTCTGCTCTTTTACCTTTCTGCTACTTTCTGCTTATTTTGCGCCCTTCTGCTCCTTTCTCATTCTGATCCCTTTCTGCTCCTTGCAGACCCTTTCTGCTCCCTTTTCTACTTGGGATCGACCGATATTGATTTTTTAGAGCCGATACCGATATTCTGTGAACTTTCAGGCCGATAGCCGATATAATTTGCCGATATTCTGTACATTTACCATTTTGGAAAATAAAAACTATTTCTAAAGGTAAATGCACAAAATATACATGCCACGTGTAGTGGATGCAGTGTGACAGGGGAGCTGTGTGTGTTTGTGTAGTGGATGCAGTGTGTGTTTGTGTAGTGTGTAGAGGATGCAATGTGTGTTTGTGTAGTGTGTGTAGAGGATGCAATGTGTGTTTGTGTAGTGGATGCAGTGTGTATTCGTCTAGTGTGTGTAGTGGATGCAGTGTGTATTAGTGTAGTGTGTATATAATGAAAGCAGAGTGTTTGTGTAGTGTGCGTTAAGTGAATGCTGTATATACTAAATGCAAAGTGTGTGTGTATATAATGAATGCAGAGTGTGTGTGTATTTGTGTAGTGTGTGTAAAGTGAATGTAGTGTGTATATAATGAATGCAGAGTGTGTGTGTATTTGTGTAGTGTGTGTAAAGTGAATGTAGTGTGTTTATATAATGCAGAGTGTGTGTGTTTGTATAGTGTGTGTATATAATGCAATGTGTTTGTGTAGTGTGCATTATATAAACACACTACACAAACACACTGCATTATATACACACTATGCAAACACACTGCATTATATACACACACTACATGCAAACACATTGCATTATATACACACACTACACACACACTGCCTTATAGAAACACACTACACAAACACACACACTGCATTATATACACACTACACAAACACACACTGCATTATATAAACACACTACACAAACACACACTGCATTATATACACACACTATACAATCACACTGTGTATATAATACAGTGTGTTTGTATAGTGTGTGTATATAATGCAGTGTGTGTGTTTGTATAGTGTGTGTATATAATGCAGTGTGTTTGTATAGTGTGTATATATAATGCAGTGTGTGTGTTTGTATAGTGTGTGTATATAATGCAGTGTGTGTGTTTGTATAGTGTGTGTGTATATAATGCAGTGTGTTTGTATAGTGTGTGTATATAATGCAGTTTGTGTGTGTTTGTATAGTGTGTGTATATAATGCAGTGTGTGTGTTTGTATAGTGTGTGTATATAATGCAGTGTGTTTGTATAGTGTGTGTATATAATGCAGTGTGTGTGTTCGTATAGTGTGTGTATATAATGCAGTGTGTTTGTATAGTGTGTATATAATGCAGTTTGTGTGTTTGTATAGTGTGTGTATATAATGCAGTGTATTTGTGTGCATTGTATACAAACACACACACACACACACACTATACAAACACACACACACACACTGCATTATATACACAGTGTGTTTGTGTAGTGTATGTGTATATAATGGAGTGTGTGTGTGAGGGGGCATTTTTTATTAACTTTTTTTTTTAATATTTAATTATTTTTGTTGTCCCCCCTCCCTGCTTGTTGCCTGGCCAGGGAGGGGGGATATGACAGTCCCTGGTGGTCCAGTAGCATTGGCTGAGCTTTGGGGGGGGGAGCGGAGAGCAAGCGCTTACTCACCTCCCAGCTGCTACTCCAGCTCCCCAGTGTAACTCTCGCGCCCAGCGTGTCGCGCAGAGCGTTGCCATGGTGATCCCCCCCAAATCTATGGGCTGCTGCCCCCAAATCTATGGGCTACTGCCCCCCCCCAAATCTATGGGCTGCTGCCCCCAAATCTAAAGGCTGCCCCCAAATCTATAGGCTGCTGCCCCCCTCCCAAATCTATGGGCTGCTGCCCCCAAATCTATGGGCTGCTGCCCCCAAATCTATCTGCTGCCGCCCCCAATCTATAGGCTGCTGCCCCCCTCTCAAACCCTCCACCCCCATCCCCCACTTACCTGATCTGTAGGTTGTCTCTGGCTGCATGTGTTGCTCCCCTGCGGTTTCAATCAGCAGAGAGAAGCAGGGATAAGATGCAGCTTCCTATCCCTGTCTCTCTCCATACACAGCGCCACCTACTGGCCGGCGCCGGTATTGCAGTTCATTTTAAATCACACAAAATAGCAGAACAAGCTGAAAAATCCAGGGGGGGGCAAGTGCCCCCTCTTGCCCCCCCCTGCGGACGCCCATGGTTGCACGATCTCGTTCCGTGTAGTTGCTTGCGCTGCCTCAATCCACCGGGTGGCTGCTCGTTGTAAGCGGTGCGCAAACTCAGCGTGGGAGTCCTTCTCCTGTTTTTTCAGGTCCCGGAATTGGAGTCTGTATGCCTCAGGGGTAATGGCATACCGGGCTAGGATGGCTTGTTTTACCTTCTGGTAATCTCTGCTGTCCTCATCAGACACGGCCCGGTAGGCTTCCGCTGCGCGGCCAGATAATTTACCAGCTAGCAGGGGTACCTGATCGTGGGGCCTGATATCATGCAGCTGGCACAGTCTTTCAAAGTCCTGCAAATATCCATCAATATCGCCCTCTGTGTCCATAAAATTTTTAAAAGCTTGATAGGGAATCTTTGTTTTTCCCTGGATCATGTTTGATGACGCCGGTGACTCCCCTCTGGCTTGCTGGTTAGGTTGAACCCCTCTGGCTATGAGGTATTCTTGTACGTCTGCCATGATCCTGTCGAAAGCCTCTTGAGATGGTGGGGTTGGATACAGGGCCAAACTACTCCTGAATTCTTTCTGAAATTCAGTTTGTTCCTCCTCCCTTGGAGGTGCTGCAGCAGCTGCTGCTCTGTCTCCTTCCATGAGCTCAGCAATAAGGGTAGCCTTTGTCTTGTTGCTGGCTATTGTTCCTCTTGCCTCCAGTAATTCCTTTAATATGCTCCATTTCAAAAGAGCATAATTTGTTTCCATTCACCAGCTGTTCATGTGATTCCACGTATTACTGAACTCCGGTTTCATCTGAATTTATGTGGTTACAAATGTAAGGGGTTTCCCAAGTCACATTGCAGGGTTTGTCCAGTAGGGGACTACATGGGGCACTGAGTTTTACAGACAGAATACCCATCATACACTGCTGTACCAAGGAGATAATTAACCCAGAATGCATTACTAATGGGATTATCTCTTGGTACAGAGAAATACAGTTTTTAC